GTGAGCCAGACGTGAGCCAGACAGAGCCAGACGTGAGCCAGTCGTGAGCCTCAGAATCCCTGGAACTGGAGTTACAGGTTGTTGTGAGCCACCATGAAGATGCTGGGAATAGAACCCAGGTCTTCTAAAAGAGCAACCAGTGCTCTAACCACTGAGCCATCTCTCCAGCCCTCGTGGCAATCATTTAAATATTTGTTAGGATGAGCGTCCCCTCATGTACTCATTGGTATGAGTCCACTCTGCCGTGAGAGCGCTATTCTAGACAAAGTATGCCAAATTTTAAATTCTTTGATTATACCACTTTGCTTTGAAAAGATTAAAATCAAATGTATCAGTCTATGAATTATTTTTCGTATGAATTTTAGGTTTAAGAAAAATATTAATTGAATTTTAATATGTTGGAGTAGTTACATTGCTTCAGTGATTTCAGGTCTTTAGTAAGTATTATAGTCGTTCACTCTTTACTTCCAGTAACTCTCGAGAACAGCCGAAATAAAAAGGGAAAGGTAATTTTCACACACAACCTGACTGTTATTCTTTACTCTCTGTTCAAGGATCCCCAGAACAATGTGATGTTTCAATGGAAAAACGTGACCTCTGTCAGCAACATCACCCAACTCTCATTCCAACTGACTCCAGAGCCCATGTTTGGAGATTACACAATCGCCATAAAAGAGCAATCAGGGATGACAACAGCGCATCAATTCACCGTTAATCAGAAGGGTAACCCAGGGCTGTGCTTGACTCTCCCACACACAGGTTCAGAGCAACAGAACACGACATTCTAGACTGGGGCAAACGCATCTGAGGCTCAGGTCGGGTCTCCGATGTCTGTTCCTCTGTTGTGCCGAGTCCTCTCTTTGCCTCTTTCTGGGCCCAGCTCTTTGCTCCTTGTCCACCCTTCTCCTCACTTAGGAAATCTCTCATTTTCTGAAAGTCAGATACTCTCCTAGAAAAGACATAAGAGGTTTAAAAAATTAAAAAAGAGTGAACTTTTGAGGGTTGGCAATTAACAAACAAATCACCACCAACACCAACAAACACAGAATAATCGATCTTTAACGAGGTGCCATCACTGGCTGGGCTTTTGGAGAAAGCAGTCTGCTAGAGTGCTGTAGCTTTGCTCTCCAGGGATTTTCAGCTGAAGTGTGTTTCTTTTGTCTCCAGTATCACCCAGATTTGAGGTTGAGGTCAGTGCACCAGAGACGGTAACTACTGCGGACAGTCAGTTTGAAGTGGCTGCATGTGCCAAGTACGTGTTCGTTCAGATTTGTCTCCACAGTGAAAACTGATGTGATTTCAGCCATAAAGCTTTAGTAATGTACTTACAGGAAAATTACTGTAGATATTCTAACTGTTTGAAAAATAGAAAGAAAAACATAAAAACGAATGACAGCACATCTTACCAATTGCTATCACGCTGTAGCTGATTTTCTTCTAATATTTTGGGAAAGTTTTCCTTGGTTGTATTTGTTTTTCTCTGTCCACTTTATCTGATACTTAAAAACACATGTCTCTGTCTTTTGCTAGTCTTTTTATCTATTCTAATTCCTTATCTTGTAAGTATAGGTTCATATGCAAGTAGAAGTTTTGCTTAATAATATTCTACTACATAACATGTAACCTGTTAAACTGTGTTTTCTAACACATGATAGCAGATAGTCGGTAAAACTGTATAATTTCCTAATTTAAAATGGAAAGTTGTTTCCTTAAGAAATATTTCACTAAAGGGAATCACCAGGTCAAAACATAAAATATTCTTTTATCTTTTAAATGCCATGTTGCTCCTCCAACTCCAGAAACTGTTGCAAAACACTGGCTTCACTGAATCCTTACCATCATCGAGTAATCTCATTAACAAAAAGAAATGAAAATGAGCTATCAAAATTTCATAGAAATAAGGAAGTTCATAATTTAGTTTGAATTTATTTGAGCCCCTTAACTTCCTATCTGATCTTAGGAACATTTATTCTCTACTTAGGAAATCATTTCTAATGCCCTTTGTCCTTTTTGTGATATCTTTTCTAGAATTTATAGTAATGTAAAGCAGCTAATATTTACTAGGTGACATTTACAAAAATTACTCCCACAATGCCACGAGCTAGGAACTACCATCCCCTCAGTTTCATAAAGGGCAGCTGTAAGTATTGGGATGACATTGGCTTTGTGCTATTCTGATGGCCGAATATTCATACCTGGGCCGTTGGGTGACATCCTGGGAACAAACACCTGGTGAGTTGTTGAATGCTTTCACAGGTGACATAAAAAACACTAACCTTTGGACAGTTTTTTGAGAGATTGAAGCTACGGTCTGTGAGGGTTACCTGGTAAACACACGGCAGGCAAAGGTCAGGGAAATTCCTCGTTATCTCCTCGGAGACTCTTGGAAGTGTTGGCTCACAGGTACACTCCTGGTAACAACACATGTCTATTCATTTGTTAGATGGGAGTGAAGTCAGAGTAATGTGTAAAATACTGATCTGGAAAGACTTCCGTATCCAGAATCATCATGTTTACCTACGTACCTAGGCATTTTCTCCTAAAGAAGGCTCATTTTCCAATACTTCTCACAAATTAGATCTATTTTAAATTTTTACTCATTAAGTTTTTCTTCACTGATGTTTTAGATCATGTAAAATTGAACGAAACTCTGAATTTGTTTGAGGTTTTTTTGTTTGTTTGTTTGTTTTTAATTAAGCAACACGGTTCTTTTCAAAAATCAAATACCTAATTTCACCTAAATTCTGTGAGAGAAAAATAGCCTCAAAGGTAAGGTCGGATGGAAGCACTCAGATTCAAAACTTCATATATGACTTCCAACGAGGTTCATGAATACCGCCTTAATACGGCCCATTTGGAATCATGGGTGCCCCTCCTCTCACCAGGTACACCTACGGCCAGCCTGTGCAGGGAAACGCCCAGATACAAGTGTGCCGAAAGTGCCTCTCCTACGGGGACTGTGAGGACGATAATAATAAAATATGCCGGCAGTACACTGCGCAGGTACAGTCCACAGGCTGACTCCAAAGAGACTAGTTTCTGGGTGGTTTTGCCGGCAGGTCTTCAGACCTGCAGAGCTGCTCATTGGTTTCCCTATGTTCCTGACCATCTGGATGCTCCCTGTGGTCTTTCCTTGGAGAATCCTTTCTCAGGCAGTTGGTTTGGAGACACCAGCTGCATGGTCTGTGTGCATGGTTCTAGAGTTCCATTCTCATTCACTCTAAATCCTGCTCATGAAAACCTATGCTCCTGGGCCTTCTCCTTAGTAATATACTCTTGTGCATGTCTCTAAGTCATTGATTTTAATTTTCATCCTCTTAGTTCTTTTTTAAAGATTTTTAAAAATTCGCATGCATGTGTAGCCTACACGAGGGGAGTGAATACTGCCTAGCCAAAGTGATAGTTTTGAGGGTCAAAGGCTAAAATTTGAAGTTAGTACATATTTCTTATTTTAAAACATAACTAAATTTACAGTTGTCCAATTATTTCCGTGAGTAGCAAAAAAGTACGCGTTTCCCCCATTTCAAGTAGTAAACCTTAACAGCTGTTGGTCCATCTGTTGTCCATGTTTCTCCAGGGGGTTGAGTTCTTATTCTTAGGAGATCATTAGCTTCATTCTCAACCTTTAACTATGCCATGCCTACAACACTTCCCGGAGCCTGTCCCCAAATCTGTAAACTCTCCCTCCTCTTGTTGTAAGTCTTTCCCTGCCTCATCTTCCAGTTTTGACTCTCTTTTCATTGGTTCAGTAACTTAATGAGGGGACGTGAGGACACAGGGGTAGAATATACCCTTGCTAAAATTCCATGAGACTCTTGGATACTTAACTTTTTCATTATATCTCTGTTTATTTTTCAGCTGAAAAATGGCTGTACTTCTCAAATGATCGATACGAAAGCCTTTCAACTAGACGACAATGAACGTCAACTAGAACTTGGGATTGAGGCAATAATGAGACTCTTCAACAGTATAAGTAATGCTTATATCTTATGCACAACTTTCTACCATTGAGAGAGAAAAAAAACACATGGAGTTAGCAACATCAATGATTTATTATGAATTAAATTATCACTCAAAATGGTAAAATGAGGCATCTTTAAATGGTGGCTTTCGTGGGGAGCTGAAGAATTTGAATCCAGGTCCTCTTCTAGGCTTAGGCAGGAAGCATTCTACCACTAAGATACACCTCCCTCTCTGAGGAGGTTTGTTCAGATGATTTATTTCTTCCTAATGCTATGCTTCATCATCTCTTACAGCTATACAAAACAGGACATCAATTATTAGTGATATGCAAACGTTTGAAAGACTGCTCTTTGAGAACATGAACTTTTTCTACAGGAATGGGATCACTTATTTGGGAAATGTACGTTTGACTGGTACTGTTAAGAAGGGCTTCTTTGGTTTTCTCTGTTCACAGATTAGCCCTTGAAATTTCTAAGCACTCTTTTCTAGGTTTACAATCCATTTTTAATATTATTATTCTGATATGCTTGGAAAGTTCTAGGTTAAAAGAAAGCACTGTATGAAATGATTAGCATCTCCTGTTTCATATGTAAACACATGTGCACAATTAGTAGTATGAATATTTCTATCCACTGACATTTCTGTTAAGTGATCACTCCCATGACTTGAAAATTCCCTGTAGAAATGTGAAGTTCTGTGTCATAAGAATATTAACATTTCTGCTTTTGCACAGCTTAGGCTTTCTGGCCCCAATAACACACCAATGGTGAGCGAGCTCTTGCAACTGGAGCTCAATGGCCAACCTCTTGGAAATTATACCACAGATGAGAACGGGGAAGCTACATTTTCCATTGAGACCTCAGAGATATTCGATCCACAGATCAGCTTGAAAGTAAGACATCCAAGGGCTGGTGGAGACTGTCAAGAATCTCACAGAGACCCCAGTGCTAGGGACATGGAGCATGAGAAGGCTCTCAGATGGTAGCATATTTTCTGCAACTTGCTTGTCCATTCAGTACTCGGCGTGAGCAGAGTGCAGAAGGTGATTAGAAGTGGCGTGTAAGAAAATCTGGCTTTTTCCCTTACATCCTTCTTTGCACAGACAGGGAGATGCTGTGAGATTTCTCTTCTGAAACTTCCACAAAAGTTTGCGGTTAAACAGTTTGCCATGGCTCGGGTGCAGGTGAAGGATACAGATTGTAAATCTGATTCTCTGACTGTACTTGAAAGTAAGAAGCCAACGCGTGGTGGTGACCTGTAATCCTTGTACTCAAGATGCTGAGACAGGAGCATCTTGAGTTGCAGGCCACACTGAGATACATAGCCAGTCACTTCCTCCATCCTCCCATCTCCGCCACCACAATGGTCCCGAGAATAAAACCTGGGTGGTCAGGCTTGGTGGCAAGTTCCTTTGCCTGCTGAGCCGTCTCGCCAGCCTTCCCAGTAATAGCTATGAGCTAGGTTCCTCCCTGCTCTGGAGAGATGGCAAGCCTTGCATTCTGTAGTCTCCCCTGCCTTTGGAGGTTATTATTTTAAAGCCTTTCCTTTGCTTCTGTCATGTCAGGCTGTGTATGTGCGACCTAAGAGCTACCATCATTCCGGCTCACTGGCCTCTCCAACTTTGGATGCCTACTTCTCAGTCTCACGCTTTTACTCCGAATCCAGCAGCTTCCTGAAGATCGTTTCCGAGCCAAAGCAGCTTCCATGTAATCAAGAGAAGATGATTTCAGTACTTTACTCCCTAAACCCTGAGGCCTACAAGGATGGCTCAGACGTGACGTTCTTCTATTTGGTAAGTCTCAGTTGGTGGATCTGTCCAATCAGCACAGCACAGTTTTTACATGGTGTCATCTGTCAGGCCTTGTCAATCTGAGTGACCTCCATCGCCCCCATTGCTGTTGGATATGCCTGGCTCCCTTAAGAGCACGGGCGCAAGCTTGCAGAACGATCCCAGGCAATCTGAGTTTCCCTAACACTGAAACACTTGCTTCCTCGACCATTTCGTTAAACTTCACACCAAATATGACCATGTGTTCCGGTATGTAACACGGAAAGAACAAAATGATATGCAGCAAAGGAAGCTGCTCTCGTTCCTTCTCATCAAGTGGAAACAGACTTGGAAATTAAGACATTCCTACTTCCACCTCCCCCACACACCCTAGTCCTCAAGCACCTGTGTCCATCTTGGACACACTGTTCAGACTCTCTGGTGTTCACTAGTGGAATCAGTTTGACTCACCAACTAGAAAAGGCAGTAGGCCCAAGGCACTGTTAAAGAGTTCCACGCATATTGCGTCATCTAGTCATCCTTGGGACATTCCACGTCACAGCATGGGCAGAGGCACATGGGTAGACAATGGGGTGAACTACCACATAGCACGCGTGTTAGATGGCTTCACAGGGTTTCTGGTGTCTTCTCTGCTCTGGCCCAACGTGTGTGAAGTTCCCTTTTAATATCCGCGTCTGGAAGCTACCTCGTTAAAAGAAAGAACGGCCACCTGATCAGCCCATGATGACATGACATGATGCTAGCTGCAATACTCACCCTGCGTCTTCTTTGCCCGGCACAGGTGATGGTGAGAAGAAGCATCTTCCTCAGTGGACAGCACAGAGTCACAATCCAAGGTGGATATGGTGCACTTGCTTTGAAATATGTACCTTCTCTCCATACTTTCTGCAAGTTAAGATGAGCACTTGATTTCGCGAGCAGCTGAAGGGTAGTAGATAGCATGGCTTGAGGTAACATACTGAGTAGATTAAGAAAGGCGATTGCTACCTTTCTGTTATTGTCTACTTAGCTTTCTGTTGAGGTGATAAGCACTGGCCAACACGGGAAGAAAGGGCTTATTTCACTTTTACGTCAGTTATCTGTCCATCATGGAGGGAAGTTGGAGCAGGAACCCAAGGCAGGAACCTGGAGGCAGGCACAGGAGCAGAAACCAAGGAGGAACACGGCTCACTGACTTGCTCTCAGTGGCTTGCCCGGCCTGCTTTCTTATACCTCCTACGTTCCACTGTCCAGGAGTGTCACAACCCACAGTGGGCTGGACCTTCCCACGTCAATCATTAGTCAAGAAAAGGCCCTTATAGACATGCCTTATAGACAGGCCAGTCAGATGGAGGCAATTCCCCAAGTGAAGTTTCCTCTCCCAAGGTGACTGTAGGGTCATTGACAAAATTATCTGGTACCATTACTGTCAGTGACTCGTGCACATTATAGAAAATGACGTCTAAGGCAGTCCTACTGTAATATTGTCTTCATCGCTGCTTGAGTCCCCTTTGGTTATTTGCATTTGAACAGGGCCCAGTTTACCTTTTCTATCCACAAGCCCTTCTCTTTCATCTAAGCAAGCCCAGAGATACAAGTTAGAGCCAGCACCATGTCATCTGTGAATTGCCTGTTTCCACAGCCTGGAACGGAAACTTCTCTTTCCCACTCCACATCAGTGCTGATCTGGCGCCAATGGCCAACCTCTTTGTCTACACCCTCCACCCCAGTGGGGAAATCATTGCAGACAATGTCAAGCTCCAGACTGACAAGTGCTTTCAAAACAAGGTGATGTTTCTCCTGTCGTCAGGGTGGGGTTTGCTTCCTGCTACCTCCTTTTTACAGTCCATTTTCCCATTAACCTCTTGATCAGTGTGTAAGTACGTGCCCCCGTGCGCGTGCATGGGCGCCCGGAGGTGAGTGCGCGAAGCCCAGGGGACAGCTTGCAGGACTCCTTCTGTTCTTTCCTCCCACCACGTGGGTCCCGGGACCGTCCTCAAGCTGTCAGCCTCGGTAGCAAGCATTCTTACCCACTGAGCCGTCTCTCCAGCCCTGTCCTGTTTGGTCCCCTCAGAATCATTACGCAGTGAACTAACAGTTCAGTTCCTAAAGAATGAGAGTCATCTTGCCAACGCCCGATTGTGGGAAGCTGGAGAGAGCAGCGGGAGAGTGAAAGGAGATGTTCCCACAGGGAACTGAGAATGGGCAGGGAAAACGTTATGTAGGGAAATCTGTCTGGGTTTGTTTGGAAGAGACAGGGTTTATTCAACTCTCTTCCTGTACAGTTATCCCTACCCTCATTGCTCTCCTTTCTCTACTCCAGGTCAGCATAGAGTTCTCAAAGGAGCAGGTACTACCTGGCTCTACCATCAGTCTGCATCTTCAAGCAGCCCCCGACTCCTTCTGTGCCCTTCGAGCCGTGGACAGAAGTGTCCTTCTACTGAAACCAGAGCAAGAACTATCACCCGACAGTGTAAGTAAGACCCTGTTCCTCAGGGCCCCCAGGCTGTGTGGCCGCTAGCCCTACCCTGCACAGGATGCTTTCCCTTAGGACGGGGCATGGTAAAAGCACCGGGCCTTTGCTTCTGAGCTCCTTCCTCGTTTATCATCTCGGGTTGTTAACTGTGGGAGTTTCCTGGCTGCTTTGCACTCTATAGATAATTATGGCAGGTCAAGAACTCTAAAACAATGCGATATTTTAAAACCATACTGAGACCGTTTGATTGTTTCTTTGTTTGTTTCAGTTGGTCCCTATGCCCTTTGACAATGTCTGATTATGTTCTCCGCATCAACAAATTTCCTGGGCCAGGATGACCCAGGACATTACATTTACATTTTTTGTTCCAAGCCTTGAAAACTGATTTGTTTTCCCCAAGGAGCTCTGATTCACTGAGTATGAAATATTTGTCTAGTTCATCATTTTTAAGTAAAACATATCCAGTTGACATGTTGTCTCTGCTCGGGTGAGATGAGACACTGTCCTTATCCTGGATTCCATTTCTGTAGTCCACTGGTTTCCTTTTCCTATGTCAGTCTCACAGTTTTAATGATAAAGATTAATCTTTGGTAGGAATCAACTCTTTTGCCAAGGTAGCTCTGCCAATCTCACCTCCAGGGTACCTGTGCTAGTCTAGTTGATTTTTAGTATCAGCTTTATCTTCTCTAGCTTGAGGAATGAAAACAAACTGGCATTTTTAGTGTGATCACATGGAATTCACAAAAGAACTTCCCCGTAATGGGGGACTATTCTAATTAAGAATTTTAAAGTGACTTTTTATTTTTCCAAGTATATTTTTCTGTCACTTATGAATTAAATTTTAAGTGGCTTTCTTCTGTGAGTTCTTTGTTTATTCACAAGTGTGCCATAATTCATCTGTTGCTGTTGTAAATAAGGTTTTTCTTCCAGCACTTATTCTATTGCTATTCATGTCCCCGGCAGCTGTTTTGCATAATGATTTCCATTGTGCTAATTTAGTCACCTCCTTTGTGAACTGACTGTATTTTATTCCATGCCTCTGTTTTTCTGCTTGCATGATTCCAGCACAGAATTACACTGTGGGGGCAGTAGCATCCTGGCCTTGTCCTTGCCTTGGTAGAGACAGAGGAACATGAGTTCCTGGTGACCTGTGAGCGACAGTCTCTTAACAGCTTTCTGTGTTAGTTTTATAAAAGCTGGCTCATTTAAGTACTGTCTCTTGATTGGTGCCAGCTTTGCTATATTTCTCAATAGATTAAGATAAAAATGTGTTATTGTTTTATGTGTATGAACGTTTTTTCTGCACATAGCATGCCCAGAATCCAGCCCAGATTCTCAGGAAGAGCAGCCGATGTGCCTAACCATTGAGCCACCTCTCCCAGCCTCTAGATTAAGACTTTTATGTAGATTTCCAAGTCCGTTTTGATGAAAAGCAAGGAAGAATTTATGACTTAAGAACCATGTTGTATGTATCAACAATCATGTCCCCTTTAGGTTACACTTTGTTTGTTTGCTCGCTTGAGTTACTGGCTTACCCATTTTTGCTGTTATCATCTAAATATAAAGTGGCTTTCCATGGAGCTTTGTTTGGTTTTGATGTTCTGCCACATTATTCTTCATATCTTTGTTGTTGCCGTTTTTCGCTTACATTAATGCAGTTGTATCGATTAGATGTCTAAGCATTTTACTTTGATATCATTGCCTGTTGTTTGCTGTGATGGAATTGGAAACAGGACTTGTTCATGTAAACCAAGGTCTTTCTCACTGAGCTTCATTCCTTCCCCTGAACCTTCAGACTCTCCTGCGGGTTCCACTGTGTGTTGCTTGCTTCAGTTCTTTCTTTTCTTTTTTCAGAAACTCCTGTTTTCTTCTGTTTACAGTTTCCCTTTTATGCAAAAAAAAATCACATACTGGTACTTCTTATGATTATATCTAAAAGACTATTTATCCTGGACTACTCTGTCATTTCAGGCTATACTTCTTCATAGTCAGTGATGTTTCTATCTTATGATGTACTCTGGTGTATGGCTGTGCTCAGATATGAGTTTCTGTAATATTTATGTATGTTAAGATGATATCATTTTTGTTAACAGCTTACTTTATAGCTATGAAATCTGACTATATATTTGTATATATGTGAGTGTGTGTGTCATATTGAATCTGACTATATCTATCTGTGTGTGTGTGTGTGTGTGAGAGAGAGAGAAAGAGAGAGAGAGAGAGAAATGAAATCTGAGATATATGAAAGAGAAAGTCTCACTGTATAGCCCTCAATGCCCTAAATCTGGCTACCTAGACCAGGCTGTTCTCAGACTCACAGGGATTCACCTGCCTCTGCCTCTGCTTCTGAGTGCTGAGATTAAAGGCGCAAGCCATTACACTTAGCTTTTGAAACTTCATTGTAGAGACTTTCTCAAGAATACTATGGCTTCACTTTTTTCTTGTTTAACCCTGAAACCCAGCCAGTCATTCTAAATAATATCCAGTGACTGCTGCCAGTGACCAGCAGACAGTTTCCTGTTTTTTTTTTCCCCTTCCATCATCTTTCCTTCCTTGGGAGGACATGCATGCTTACAGTTGGTGTCTCTATTGCTCCCTGAGCCATCCCTGCTTCCAAGTAATCTTTTGAGTACATAAAGCATATTCTCTGCTTTCTTCCTCAAGAGGGCCCATGAATCCCAAGACATTTCCGTACTCAGAATTATTTTTCTAAAGATTTGACATAGAAACTAGGTGTGATGGTAAATGCTTGTGACTTCAGCACTTGGGAAATGGAGGTAGGAGGATCAGGAGTTGAAGGCTAACCTCAGCTACATGGGACCTATCTCAAAAACAAAACAAACAAAAACTTAAAAAGTAAAGAACAATGCCTTGATACATGAAAGACAGGTCATGTGGCTATTAAATTTGGAGCTTATACTTTTCTTTAGGCTGTTGAAAACCCTGCTCCTCTATCCCTCACTATGAACATTTTTTTAAAGGAAATTTGCTGTCAAACTAGCTTATTTTCTGTGGTATGTTATTTGATCTTTTTGTCTGGGGGCTTTTGCCTTCTTTTATATTTAAACAAAAAAAATTAGTAAGATATTGCTTAGGATTTATTGTGTGAGGAAAAGCCAAAGCCTAGTCTGAATTAAAACTTAAGAATTAAGCCTTTTTTAAAATTTTTTATTTAACTTTTACTAATTACACTTTATTCATTTTGTATCCCCCCATAAGCCCCTCCCTCCACCCCTCCTGGTTCCATACCCCCCCTTTCTGCATGCATGCCCCTCCCCAAGTCCACTGATAGGGGAGGTCCTCCTCTCCTTCTTTCTGATCTTAGTCTATCAGTTCTCATCAGAAGGGGCTGCATTGTCAGGGTTCTAGGTTATCTCCATGAATAGTCCTTGGTTGGAGTATGAGTCTTTGGGAAGTTCCCTGTATTCAAATTTTCTTGTTCTGTTGCTCTCCTTGTGGAGTTCCTGTCCTCTCCAGCTCTTACTATTTCCCACTTCTTATATAAAATTCCATTTACTCTGCCCGACAGTTGGCCATCAGGCTCAGCATCTGCTTTGACAGCCTTTTTTACTTCTTCTCTTTCTTGGAAAATTCCAGTCACATGTCAGTTCTTTTTTCACTTGCTCTCACACTCTCACGTTTGCCTGTGACCTTCTTTGATTCTTTCTTACTTGTTTCTTTCAATTTCTATTTCTTTTCTATAAGCTGGGTGTGCTAGGAGTACATCTGTAATCTCTTTTACATCTGGGTGTGCTGATGCACATCTGTATTCTCTTCTCTTGAGAGGCACACACAGGAAAATCAGGAGTTCAAAGCCAGGAGACCCTGCCTCAAAAGCACAAAAGCAGACAAACAATGAATGATTTCTATCAGTCATCCCCCCACCCCTTTGGGACCCTTAGAGTTAATTTCTGATGTTTTTGTCTTCTTCTGAATTCGTTCTCTGTAAAAGGAGTTACTCATTCTGTATCCATTAATTGACACAGGGAATAATTACGGCAGCATTTACTCATAAACCAGCAATTTTCCAAACAAAACACACAGAAACTTGTTAGATTTATAATAAGTCTTAAAGCACTAGGGCTGGGACGATAGCAACACTAAAATACCTTGTCTGCTTCGTATTCCAAATCCTTGCACATGTTCCATTTGGGCTGTTTGTGCTTCATCCGGCCAGTCCTCAAAGCAAGCTGCTCTTGACCATGAGCTCCTGGGTACCCCATGGCGACCTCCTGCTTCCTCTCCATCTCCATCCTCCACCTCCTCCTTGTGGTCCTTCTGTGACCCAAAAGCCTGGGAAACTTAGCTTCACCTGCCTCTCTTCTGCCCAGCTCAGGCTGTTATTCGCCAATCATGGATAATTTGGGAGGCAAGGCTCACACAACTTTATTTTGGACACGTGAGAATTTGCTTACAAAACAGTAATGTTCTTGGGAGCAAGCAATCAACATTTGAACACACAGTAGCTCCAGATCAACTCCAGCAATTCTCAACTATTTCTTCCTTGGTTTTGCCCATTTTCATACTTTCTTTGTTGAATTTCTGCTTCACGATCTTTTTAAATACCTTGTAAGTCAATTTGTGAATATTCTCTTTCTTCTGAAAACATTTGAGGAATGCTTTTCTCTGTTAGTTAATTATGTGGGGTGAGAAGTTTCATTGGCTAAAGTGGGTCCCCTGTTTTATCCTGTTATACCTTTCCTCCCTTAAGCACCATCTCCAAGGGTCAGAGCTCTCCTCTGTTCACACCACTATTTTCCATCAGTTACACCCACCTGATAGCCACCGCCCATGTCAGTCATGCGTTTCAGGGAATGGAAGCTGCCCACTCATTTCAAGCCCTTTCCATTTACTGAGAGCTAATGTGGCCAGGGAAGATAGACATGTGGATAAGTTCATATTTTGACATGTGTCGTTGGAGTATTTTTATATAGAATTAATTTGATATGTGTTTCTTCTAATTTCTTCATGTTGTTCTCCCTTTATGCATAGAGTTTCTTGAAATTTCCTTCAGTTTTACATACACCATATATTTTTTCCAGTCTTTTAGAACATGATGTCCACAATTATACCAACAACTAAATGGTTACAGGAAGATTCATTGCCCCTCTTAGTGGTGAATGTATTAGCTGTTGACCTCACTCCTTGCTCACGATTTGATTGGTATAGATTCATTGCACATAGTACAGAGCTTCAGAAGAACAGTTTCCTAAGAGTACATGAAGTACTTTGGTCACTTGTTCATTGCTTGATGCTCTATTTTATCTGGAAGGTTTTAATTCGTTCATACTTAGATTTAGACAGCTGTCATCCTCCAGGGCTGGGAACTCAACTTTTGTAACTTCAGGCTGTTATCTGTGCACTAGGCTTTGGAGCAACCAAGAGTTCTCCATGACCTGTTTTTATTTGCTGTCCCAAATCCTGCACTCTCAGACAGAAAGTTCTCAAATAACACTGACTACATAAAACAATATCGGTCTCCTCATTTGAATTTTTAGAAGGTTGACTCAGAAATAAATGGTTGCAACACAAAATTTTCCAGTCTTATACTTATGCAAGGAGTGCTTAAAATCACCACAGACATGTCTTCAACTCCCAGATATACAACCTGTTCCCAAATATCCCACAACATGGCTCTTACTACGGTGATCTCAACCTGGATGATGGTAGAACAGAGCCATGCATTCCTCAGAAGGATTTGTTCTACAAAGGACTGTATTATACACCTTCAAGCAATGTTTGGGATGGAGACGTCTCTAATCTTCTCTGGGTAAGATCGCAGATGAGTCTGTAAATTCTGTCCTCCTGTAGCTTTAGTGGGAACCCCATCTATGTCTCTTTCACTGTAGATTCTTTCTATACTGTGCTGCCCGAGTACTCTCAAAGAAAGAGATGTCAGTCCTCTTGGCCTTTTTTCCTTTTGTTGAAAAGAAGATCTGTGGCTAGAATAAGGGGACCCCAGATCTTAAGCAATGAGACGGTTTTCAGTTTCTTGCAGTATATCTTATGCTTCAGTAATTATACCGAGAAGATGTCTTGAAGTCTGTATTCCACATAACGGAGGCTGCCAGCCACATATGTCCAGGGGTCATGCAAGGATCTTTACCATCTGAATCACGGCGAATGACGAAAAGGACACTGAAGTAGACAGGTTTTAGTTCAAGTCTAAGTTCTGCTGTTCAATTCGTGTGCGCTGTATCAACATAATGGTGCTGATTTGTTGTTTTTCCTTAAGCATAAATGGAAAAAACATGACAATATTAGCATAACAGTAATAAATCATAATTATTGGTTTTCTTCCACACTAATTTTTTTCTGTAAGTCAAATTAAGGAGACTTGAGTTCTGTGGTCCTGAATACCAGCTAACACAGATAATATGTGTATTTACTGTCTGTTTAAGCTGGCTGTAGACCTTTCATAGTTTTCTCAGGAAAGGAATGTATAACTTTTTGTGTCTTTCTCTGGGTCTAAAACCCTTCACCAATCTCCGCTACCGGACACCAGAAATGTGTTCTACCCAGAAAAACCTGCCTCAGCTGAGACCATTCCCTCTCCCAAGCGAACGGATGATGCACAGCTCCGGAGGTGGTTCTGCCTGTGCATAACCTAGAACTTCCTGTTGGAGTGATGTTCAGTAGAAATCTTTGCATTGGGTGTATACGAAATAAAAATCAGGCAAAACAAGAGCTTATAGATGATTCATGATGATTTGGAGCAAGAACTAGCTAGAATGTCTACAGTTCAACAAAACAGGATGGAATTATTTGGCTATAAAGAAGAATTAGCTTCTAATAGGAAGTTTAGGTTTTAGTTTCTTTTTCTGACTTTCTTTATCCTCTTAAATTTTTGTTTCTTTCTTAAGACAGGTTCTTACTCTGTAGCCCAGGCTGGCCTCAAAATAGATGTGAAGACTCTGAAGGATATATGTAGGAGCTATAAAGGACACTGTCGGCAGCAACTAGACCTGGTGCCATGCAACTCAATGATGTTTGTTGCTTGCAATGAGAAAGGGTCTCAAGTAGCCCAGGCTGGCCTCAGATTTTTTATGTAGTCAAGGATGGCCTTGAACGTCTGATCATCCTGACTCCACCTCTCACACACTGGGGTCTGAAAGCATTCCCCAGCACGACCAGCCCAGGAGTTACTCTTTGGACCTAGAAACACCAGTAGGCAGACACGAGTTATGCAGCCCACAGGCCACCGCTGTAAGGGAAAGTGTTCTGGAGATTACAAATATCACAGCCTCAGCAAAAAGAATGCCACTCGGCTAAGCTGGGCCGTCCTGCCTGTCAGACAGGAGTCAGTGAGGAGATTTCATTCATCTGGATTTGGTGTAGGTGATTTGTTGTTGTTTTATATCTTTTAAACAAACGTAGAAACTTGAAATCGTGATACCTGGGTTGAGATTTGAATTTATCAGTAGTAAGCCCTAGGAGCAAATTTCTGTACTAGGCCTCATCTAGTTAGGGGCACAACTAGGGGGACTGGAAGATGACTCGGCAGGTAAGCTGCTTGCTGTGCAGCCGTGAGGACCTGAGTTTGATTCCTAGCACCCCCATAAATGCTGGGCACGCCTGTCACCCTAACACTTCAGCCCAGACACAGGTAGTCTCCAGGGATTATTGCCCAGCTGGTCTAGCTGACATGCCGGTCCAGTGAGAACCGGCTGATAAAAATCAAGATGGAAAAGCAAGTGAGGAAGACACCTGAAATCAACCTGTGGCCTCCACTGGTAGCCCCGTGGGTGCTCAATGTCACACACACACACAGCTCACCCAGGCATGTGGTATTAAAGCACAGCACATACTTTTGCTCTTTCTACAGAGGACATTTCCTTGTATCTCTCTCTCGTTTTAGCTCGTGATGCCGGAGACATCATCAACCATGCAGAAGAGGCCATCAGAGAGACAGTAAGGACACACTTCCCCAAAACATGGATTTGGGAGCTCATTCATGTAGAGTGAGTTGTATTTTTATTCTTAACTTTTATTCCTGGCCAATAAAGTAGGAAGGTGTTTGTTTAAAAAAACAGTCATCCATTTGTACTTTCTAATCACATGTTTGATGGTTCATTTGCGTGTTTGTTTCAGTAAAGCTATACTTTTCCACCAAGATCTTCATGCCTATAAATTTTATGCAGGTAGATACATGGTACGCCAAATTTTTTAAAAATAAGATCTTTATAGGAACACGCATTTCTAAGTTCAGTTCTACAGACGTCAGATGAAGGCTATGTATCTAACCCTTACCCAGACACCAGAAGCCATTTTGCAAACCTTCAATCACTGCATCTGTGTGTTGGGCATCTTCTGGGGTCCTTACTGAGAGGACACATGTCACTAACAGCCTGGCTTCTCAGCTCCTCAGGCTCAGCAAACGTCACCTTCCTTGTCCCTGACACTATAACTCAATGGGAGGCCAGCGCCTTCTGTGTGAACAGCCACGCCGGGTTTGGCATTTCACCTAAAGCATCTGTGGTGACCTACCTACCCTTCTTCATCGATGCTCCCTTTCCTGCTTCGGTTGTTCGAAATGAGCAGAGCGACCTGGTTGTCACTGCGTTCAGCTACCTGACTACGTGTGTGGAGGTAAGCCACCCCATTTGTCCTGGGAACAGAAATCCAGCAAAGCTAAATTATTTGTTTATTTTTCATTAAATATCACCATAGTCTCTCCATGACCAAATGAAAATTCCCACCATAAGGAGGTCACTTCTCTCTAGAATCTTTAGAAATGGTTATTTACATTTTTCATTTTGTTTTCTGTGTATGATTGCTTTGCCTAATGTGTGCACATGCAAAATGTGCATTTCTGGTGCCCACAGAGGCCAGAAAAGCAGAGCACATCCCTCAAATTTCCATTATGGACTATTGCAAGCTGCCATGTGGGTGCTGGGAACTGAACCCGGGTCCTCTGCAAAAGCAGCAAGTGCTCTTAACTGCGAGTGAACTCTGCAGCTCCAGAAATAGTTGTTTTAAGTCACAACAATGACTTGAAACTTTAGTGAAAATGAGATTTTGTGATGATGCACATCCTATTATTTTGTAAACTTGGGAATGAGTCCTTGGGTGTATTTTTTTATTTTGCTGAGTTAAAATAGAATCTTCTTCCAATGACAAGTGCCAGCTTCTTCGAAGACATCGAAGAAACTATTGTGAAATAAATTGTAGAATTTCAGGCAAAGGAGAGAGAGGGAGAAGAAAGTCTAAAATACTACCTGGTGGCCATTATTCCGTTTTTAGATTTCTTTTCGATTAGAAGCATCTGAGCACTATGAAGCAAGCATCAACAGCCCGAGAGGCAATGACAGTGATGTCCTGGAGGCTGGAGGATGGAAAACATATGTCTGGACCGTCATCCCAAAGACACTGGGTAAGCAGCTGTATGAGTGCTGATCTCTCATGGATTCAGCACATTTGATCAACCTCTGTTTTCCCTAGATTTTTTTAATACGATTTTCTTCAGCATCATATTTTTAATTTCCTTTGTTCATTTCCCTATATTCAGAAATCTTAAAATGTAATTTCTTTATTTAAAAGGATGTTGTTATATTTCTGCGTGTTTGTATGTGTGCTACATGCATGCAGGCCCCTAGGGAACCCGGAAGAGGGTGTTTCATTACAACCTGAACTATAGATGGTTGTGAGTTACCTGATCTGAGTGCTGAGAACCAATCCCAGCTCTTGTACAGAAGTAGCAAGCGCTCACAAACACTGAGCCCTCTCTGCAGCCCTCTAGCTCTTTATTGCTAATATTCTGTGGAGCACAACTCCATGCGTTCACATTAAAAGTATAAGATTAAAGCTAGTGTGTGTGATGTAGCCGTCCACACACTGATAGTTATGAAAAGCATGAGCTGCTCAGCCCATGTTCCTGCAAGAGCCTTATTAGGAGGGTATGGAGGAAGGGGGAGCAGCACATGAAGAGAGAGAGAGAAAAGGGAAGGGGCACCCCAAGAGAGTGGGAGAGCATGAGAGAGAGAGACAGAGAGACAGAGACAGAAAGAGTGTAAGATAGAAGGAGTAAGAGAGAGACTATGTGTCAGGCTTGGCCCTTGAAGGGGCAACGTAACCACGCCTTCCAGGTGTGGCCACCTGGATGGTGACCCATGTTGACATCATAAGTTTCTGGGTAACCCAGGAGCAGGTTGTTTTCCAAAATACTAACATTCCTCCCTTTTTCTATAATTAAATATGGGGAGCTTGGTCTGCTTTTTATAAGGGAACTTAAAGTATATAAATTTAGGCTCATTGGAAGCAGCTCTTGGTTTTCATGCAAGGGCTTGAGAGAGAGAATTATAGCAACAAAATGGTCAGATTGCAAGGTCAAGAGTAAGGGAAGCCTCTGCCCTGGAAAATTTAGGGTAGAGGGTTGTCAATAGAGAGAGTTATCAGCCATGCAAGGCAGCAGGTAGGGACTGGGGAACACTGGGAGAACCTGGAGCTGCTTGTCCTGTTCCTGAAGCACACCATTTCAGCCTTTTGTTAACAAGTGAATAACAGGTGTAGATTCTCTTCTGGCTACTTCCTGCTGACACTAGGGGCGCTGTAGGGAGGTCAAAAGGCTGAAATGTTGGCCAAGTCCAGGAAGAATAGACCCTTTCCAGGGTCTGCAAGAACATCCATGGCTGGGAGGGAAGGTGCAGGTCCAGCTTGTTGGAAGTCTGTGTGGTCAGAGTTGAACAGCTGTAGCTGCTTTGTCACTGTTGTGGCTATAGGAAACATCTGTGTCTGGCAGGACACTGAAAGACATATATAGGCAAAAGATAAAGTTGAGTAGGTTGTGGAGAAAATCCTGTAGGTATACATTGAAAACTTTTGGGAGAGCAAACAGAAGTAGAAGGTTTGGATCGATGAGACTTGAACATGGGAACCTCTGTCTACCTGGGGGGACCTTTACTTACCCAAGCACTGGCAATATTTAAAGAAGGCTTTGTTTTCGATCTGTCATTAAGGTGAGGTTTGGTTACAGAAGCGTGTAAACTTAGAGGCCCTGGTGCTAGCTGTCACTAGGTGTAGAAACTTAAAATTCTCCAGAGGACATCCTATCTGGAGGGACAGGCATCTGGGACTCTACCATTGGGGGCAGAGAAGTCAGGAACCTTCCGAAGGCATCCCAATGGCAAAGTGTGACTCGAGCGAGAGGGGTCCTACCTGGTCCAATATTTTGTCAGCTTTTGGCCAGGGACCAGGGCACAGGTGCCCAATGGGGCACAGCCGGGGCACAACGGTTCACCTAGTGCTAAGTCTTCCCACGATTGAGAAAGAGAGAGAGAAGGAACCATGTGCAAGTGAGGACGTACCGCCCAAGGGAGAGTGGGGTCCTAAAATGGAGGTCAGCATATAAGGTCGAACATAGACAGTTAAGGCTACAGCTGGGGGGGGTCCCTCTGTCTCAAAAGATAGTACAAAGTTGCTGGAGCTCTGTGGTCAAGCTTTCCCTACCAAGAGAGGCGTTTATGCTGAGAAAATGGAGTGAAATCACCAATCTAGTGGCTGGCCAATAAGGAGAACTCACCAATCGAGCCAATGTTACATGTAGTAAATATCAGTCTGGTAGCCAGGACAGGAAGTCCCAAAACCAGGGAAAGGGGAGGAGTCCCACCTTTTGAGATAGGCAATAAGTGCTGTACTTATCTGGAGTCCAGTTGACCTGAGAGGTGGATTTAGGTGGACTTTCTGCAGCTTACAAGAATTACTTTTAAGTTTTAAGAAGGAGTTAAAACTTTAGACATGTTAGTATCACAATTGTATTCTGCATTGTAGAAAAGCCAGTAAACATACATATTTGTGTTAATAGCATAAGTATTTTTTAAGGTGAGCTGTGAAAATGCAAAAGCCTTTTATGAAGTAAAAGGGAAACTCACTTGATCTTAACTTTTAGTATAAGTATACATATTATGGAGGATTACAATCTTGAGCTTAGAACCATAATAGTACGTGGTATAGTGGAATGTTTTTGTATCGGAGTTAGATTAATAAATTAGAGCCCTATTGATAAAGGTTGAAACTCTGGACAGTCAATACAACAGTAGCATAGCAACAAGAGCAAATATTAATCCTTTTTACCTATTTAAGATACCTTAAATCACCTTAGACCTTGTAACCTTTATAACTAGCATAAACAGTTTTTAGAGCCTCAAATATTTATAAGTTGCATTACCAACCTTAATACACATTTTAGACTCTTAAACATGTATAACTTGTATTTACCAACCTTAAGACACTTTTTAAGACTCGAATATGTATAACTTGTATTTATTAACCTTAAGACATCTCTCACATATGTTTTTTGAGAGCGACCTTTGTATTTAGTTATTTACCATGAGACATGGTTGAGACTGCTATGAACATTTATTGTCCTTTAGCTAAAGGGATGGTAAAAGGTTTTCATTTAGGCCTGTTTCTTGAGTCTGGACTGTGTCTAGGCCTGAAAATAGCAGCTCTAGGACTTAGGCTTAAGGCCTTGTCTCCTGCATATAAAGAGAACTGGGAAGGCACCTGAAGTCTCCCAACACAAAAGTTGGCAATATGTCCGTGGGACCTCATTCTGCTCAGTGCTGGAGGTCGCAAAGTCAAGGAGCCACCTGTCTTCTGCCAGGCCAATGAGCTAGAAGGCTGGAAGTGTCTGTGCTCTTGTGCTGGTTGAACCTCCATGGCTGGGTACAGAGGACAAGCCTGCTTGGGAGCATTTTGACTTCCAGAGGCCAGTCTGCCAGCAGCCAGCTTTGGCATGTTGCATCAGCAGCGGGACCAGCATCCACTTGGCTGCATTTGAAAACGTCAGCTGGTGGAATGGACTTTTGGCTGTGCAAACCACTTGCCTTTTTTTGCAGAAACACCAGCAGTCTCAGAGCCCAGCTAAGGTCTAGAGCCAGTCAGATGGTTCTTATTATTTTTGCCAACTCCTATATGGTGACTCAAGGTCCATCCTCAGCTGTTTATTAAAAATTGCAGTGAGACCATGCTTGCATCGGTAGGACTCTAAATATGTATTTATGAGATGACTATTAACTTGCATTTGTTAACCATTAAATATTAGGACTTTAGGTTTTGTCCTTGCTAAGTTAGAATCTTAAAAGTCATGAATATAATTTATTAGAGTGAGAGCACAAGAGTTTTTGTCTGCTTTAGTATATAAAAGTTTATAGCTTATAAGAGTGTAGGGCTATACTACAGATTAGTAACAACCTTTTTTAAAGAATAAGACCAAGCTTATATTAACCTTTTGATAGTAGAGATACAGCAAATTGACCCAGTTTTAACATAAATATATATTTTTAAATTAGTAGAATATTGGTAAACAACTTGTACATAATAATGAACCCTTGAGGTATAAGTTTAAAACCAACAATTTAGCAGAACAGTATAAACCAATTTTAAAATTAACCAAGCATATTTTAACTTTTGCTAGCAGAGACGTAGCAAATTGACCCAGTTTTAACATAAATAAATACCTCTAAAATTAATAGATCTTAATTTACAATATTGGTAAACAATGTGTACGTACTGGTGAGCCCCTGAGCAGAACAGTATAAGGCAATTTTAAAATTATATTTGAGCAACACATAGTAGGAGACATGAACAATCTTTTGTTTTAAACCAACTCAATTTGAGTAGTTATTTACAACTTTGAAATTTTATTAATATATAAAATTTATTTGGAAGCAGGGTTAAATCATAAGATAGTAAAATGTCAATTTGAATTCCTATAAAAATCTATGCCAACTTGAAATGAGGCTGGATGTTGTGGCCTCATATAAAAGATAAGATAAACAGTTAATTATGATTAAGACTTATAAATTCAAACCCAATGAGAAGATTATATACAGCATTAGATAAGAAATTTAAAATATAAGAGTAAAGAGTAAAGTGTACAGAAATCAGGGAGAAAAGACATATTTTTTTAAAGCTTGGAAACAGCTTCCTAGAAGAAAGCACGGGGCTAGAAGCAAAATGAGGCTAGAAGCAAAATGAAATATTGGTGTGGGGGGGGAGTGCATAGCAAGACGGAGCAGGCAGCTGGCAGGTGCCATAGTAGCAAGAGTAGAACGAAGCTTGGTGGGGGAGGGAGGAGCGCATGGCAAGATGGCAGGGCCCACGGGAGGTGGGGCCTGTTTGCCCGAACCAAAGATAGCACTGTACCATGTTAAGTCAAAGGTTAAACTATAGTTATGCCCACTTCCTCCCACGATAAACATGGTGCCGGCTGGGGATCCCTCAGGAAATTTAAAAGTTTTGTAGCTGTGCTGGGTTTTTTAGAAATTCCTTACCAAATTTTGCGAAGTTGATTTTTGCACTGAGTCTCCGAGACTCGCGGGCGCACAGGCCGAGGTGGGACCAGGCGCGCAGGAGGGAGAGCAGTGAAGTTCTTTGTTATAGAACAGAGAAAATCAGTTGAAACCATCCCATTAGATTACAGGAGTCTGAAAGGGACCCTAGCAAAGCTAGGAAGGGGAGCCCTTCCCAGGTCACGGCACCAATGTAATGTTATTACTCAAAAAGCACATCACATCTCAAATAAAGACCATCAATTTCTTTAATGATGCACTGATCCTTGCATTTGCTGCTTCATCTAACATCAACACAAAAATGCCACTTTTACAAATTGTTTTTCCTCTGCCACAATCATCAGTTTTATGTCCCATCTTGTATTTGTTGCATTATTATGTCAGTAAAGACTATAAGATTGTTTTCTAAATTCAGCTGTGATTATTGATTCATCTCAGTTCATTTTTTACTACACTTAAGCTTTCTTAATTTTTATGAAGTGTCAGATCACCAATGGCTCACTCTGGAAAATAAGTCAGAATACTGCACTTGCTGCTGTGTTTTTGTGACGCTCAAAGGCTTTGCAAAGCAAAGAAAGAAATCAGCAAAACTAACATCAAAGAAACAGGAACAATACATTGGTTGGGTCTACAGCACACAAGTGATGCTAAGCCTTGCTAATAAGCTTTACCAGCCCTCCAAGTTTTATAAACAAAGATCAATGATACAGGATATCGGTTTTGATTACATACTGTGATAGCAGAGAAGTTAAAATCAACAAATTTCATGCCAGCACTCAGTTTATGTCTAGTAGCCCTTGAGCTCTATCAAGCTTTACTTTTTTTTTAGATCTTAGAAAAGATTAGAAGCGCCAGTTATTACTAGGTGTGTTGGTATTTTTCTTTGATCCTAGGAAACATTCCAGGAATGGTGGTACGCACCTTTGGTCCCAACCCTCAGGAGGAAGAGGGAAGCAGATCTCTGTAAATTCTAGGCTTGGTCTACACAGTGAGTTCCAGGACAGCCAGGCCTACATGTGACACCCTATCTCAAAGGGGAAGAGATGAAGGGAACCCCAGCTTTCTGATGCTATATTGTCCAATGTCATTTTGTAAACACTATCGAGGTGATAGCACAGGCGCATGGATTGTTATCTTTCTTAACAGTCTAACAGGAAATGCGTAGGTTCTAACTTAGTGAATGCATAGCTTACTACAGGAAATCCTGAATCAAGCAGAACAGAACATACTGCCTTTTCTCCAGGCAGGAGGAGAAGTAGATAGTTTAAACTTTAGAGTGGGAGTAAATTTTGGTTCATCCCATTCAAGACACGATTGATGGACCCAAAGTATCTCCCATTGGAAAAGGAGTCATTATTTTTTATCTTATGCTTGGCAATATCTTCCAGGTAAAGTGAATATTACTATAGTGGCTACATCCAAACCGAGTACGGCCTGCCCAAATGATGCCAGTGAGCAGCATGATGGTAGCTGGAAAGACACGGTAGTCAAAAGCTTACTGGTAGAGGTATGTACGTGTGAAATACCAAGTTCTTCCTGATGGGAAGCAGTGCCTGGGAGATAAACTAGGGCACTCTTCTTGAAAATGCTTGATGGACCGAAGTTGCTTTTGACAAACTTTCTGCTTTGAACCAATTACACTACTATACATACATTCTTTCTTTAATCAAGACCTCAGCCATGGCTGGGTAAGTGGCTCAGTGGGTAGTTACTTGCCTAGCTTATGCAAAAACCTGGGTTCTAGTCTCAGTGTCGCCAAACCCAAGCAACAAACGGAGCCTCAGAAAGGATGATGAATGCCTTGACACATGCTTTGTGAATTCTTGACTGACTTCATGACATGAAGCAGCCTGTAATCACCCCCACCACCTTCTTACCTCATCCTGAGGTCCAAGAGAAAGATCCTTATCTTGCTCTAAGCTTCTGAGCAGTTCCTGTTAGCCACCAGTTAAAAAAAAAAAAATCAACAGCAGTTGAAGATACCGCTCAAGGAAATGGGCTTATCCTTGCATAACCCATGGGAGCTGAGGGCCTCAGGGGTGTTGGTAGTGTACAGACAACTCCACCTAGGAGATACAGGAACAACAAATGGCTCCCAGGAATGCTCCTGAGCCAGCCATGCCTTAGGGAACTAATGTTTGATCTCTTTTCCTCCATGGAAAAATAATCCAGTTCATGACTTTGTTCTTGATTTTGTCTCTAACAGCCCGAAGGTATTGAAAAAGAAACAACCCAGAGTTTCCTTATCTGCCCAAAAGGTAAGAGGGCTCTCCCAGTGATCTCTTGGTCTTAGAGAAATCTGTAAGCACGGCAGATTTTTTTTTCTCAGCCTACACACAAGACGCAAGCTACGAACCCACAAGCCATGTGGATGCATTTTAAGTTCCTCTTGAGGTTCTTACTTCATTTCATGTTTTATCTTCCTTGTATAATTTTTAGCAAACAGAATGTTTTTGTTTATTTGTTTGTCTAATGAGATTATTCTACTACTGCCTATTTTCTTCATCTTGTATATTTTGGGGTTTTTGTTCCTATGATTGTCTCACAGTCTTGATCAATGGAAAACTTGGATTTTGTTCAAAGAACACTAACATGGTGCTTGCTTTTATAATCTTGGCCCGAAATAGTCTGTAGATTCGTTGCTGGCCTTCAGTTACCTGATTTGTGGCCATCGGGAGTATTGTTTTAGCTCGTTAATGGTAACCTGATTTTAATGTTTGCTCGGACTTTGAACATTCCTTCTATGAGCTCTGAGTGTTGTATCTTCCATCTTTTCCACACAGAGTTTAAGTGCTGAATCGATAGAAAATCGAGAGCACTGTCTCAAAGTATGCATTGTTTTCAGAATGTATTGATATTCTAAACTAGCTCAAATCCTCAGCTTATTTTTTAAAACTTTTATTACATTCATTTATGTGTGTGTGTGTGCATTCATGTCTGCATGTGTTCGTGTTTTTGAATGTACATGTACACACCACTGAGTGGGGGTGGGAAGTCAAAGGACAGCTTTCAGGAGCTGCTTCTCTCCTTCTACCATTGGGTCTCAGGGATGGAACTCAACATCTCCAGCCTTGGTAGCTCATGCCATTATGCCCTCTGAGCCATTATACCCTCTGAGCCGTCTTACTGGCCCCAATTCACAACTTTATTTCCTCCAACAAGCAAAACTAATGGCCTGTTCTTCCTAATACAGTTGTTCCAAAAAACCTGCTGCTATGACTGGTAGAGGGAAGTCTTTGCATTGTTTGCATGGGTATTTTCTTTCAGGTACCAAAGTCTCAAAGCAAATACTTCTGGAATCGCCAAGCAATGTAGTAGAAGAGTCAGCCACATCCTTTGTCACCATTGTGGGTGAGTGTATTAAATTCTGTGCCATGGTGATTTGAAAATCTTGCTTGATGTGGTCTGTTAAAAAGTCCCAAAATAACAGAATGGAGACGTTTTCATAAGCTGTCAGAGGAGGAATTGTGCTCAGAGTACCCTTTCCGCCTGTTTCCATGTGGAATGTGAAGGCACCAGTTTCCAGACCTGCATCTTTTGGAAGCATCTGTGCTGGTGTGTAATGCAAATGCTCAGGAAACATAAGACCCCGCTCTAACCTTAGAGAGGATGTTAAATTTGCCTATTGGAGATTATGATATGTTGTTATATTGGGAATTTTTTACTTTAATTTTTATTAACTGCACTTTATTCACTTTGTATCCCCCTGTAGCTCGCTCCTTGCTCTCCTCCCAATTCCACCCTCCCTCCCCCTTCTCTACGCATGCACCTCCCCAAGTCCACTGATAGGGGAGGTCTTCCTCTCCTTCCTTCTGATCATAGTCTATCAGGTCTCATCAGGAGTGGCTGCATTGTCTTCCTCTGTGGCTTGGTAAGGCTGCTCCCCCCTCATAGGGAGGGGATCAAAGAGCAGGCCAATTGGTTCATGTCAGAGACAGTCCCTGTTTATAGATACTGGGAATTTTCTCAGCAAAAGGATATATATGTTTCTATCATCCACATTCAAGCCTGTAGAAGAGGGATGGGTTATAGTTTGTATTTCATCGGGTCGATCTCTCAGAACACGGATGCACAATTTCCAAGCTTCCTCTTTGCTCTGGGAGTGAGATTCTCAGGAACGTTTTCATACCCAAAGGCCCTCTAATTCCACACTTCAGAACCACCTTGTCTATGTGTTTTGTTGACTATGTACATATTACATATTATACTGTGTATGAGGCAGTGCATGCACATAAATGCAGTGTCCAAAGAGGCCAGGAGCATTGGTTCTCCTACAAGTGGAGTTAGGGGCAGCTGTGAGCCACCCAACATGGGTGCTGGGAACTGGATTGAGGAATGCTTCAAGAGCAGCAAGGGCTCTCAACCACAGCGCCACCTCCCCAGCCTCCTGTTTACAGCTCTTAGAATGAACTTTAAAGAGTTTCCTGTTCCCACCACGTCCGTTCACCGGTGGTTATTAAAGCTGAGGCAGCAGCTTAGCGTTAATGTGAGTGCATGACTCTCCCTTTCTGCCTTTAGGTGACATTCTGGGGGTGACAATGCAGAATCTGGACAGCCTCCTCCAAACATCCTATGGGTGTGTCGAGCAGAACGTCGCCCAGCTAGCGTCTGATATTTTCATACTCGACTACCTGACAGCTACTGATCAGCTGACAGAAGACATCAAATCCAAGGCTCTGCTTCTCTTATCTAATGGTGAGTGGGTTCAGAAGTTTCTGCCCACAAAGGTGAAATCAATTACTACCAATATCAAAACATGATCTAGTTTACTCTGCCATCCCCTGGGGTGACAAAAGTGGGTCTTTTAGAGACTCTGAGTCCTACCTGTGTGTTCTTTTTGCTCTAAAATCTCTGCTCATTGTTTAGCTTCCTGACATAGACCTGTACTTTTAAATTGTAAACTCACCTTTCTTTTTAAATTTTCCTTATGCATACAACAAAATATGGTCAAACCCACCCCTGTGTCTCTTCCTTCAACTTCCACTCATCCTCCCCATCATGCCTCACCTCCTCCCAACTTTGCGTCTTTTCTTTTCTTTTCTTCTAATAACCCACCAAGTCCACTTAGCACAACCCATATGTGCATGGGTATAGGGCCCTTTTCTGGAATAGGAGAGACATACCAGGCACCACGCCCTCAATAAAGAACAAGTCTCCCACCAGCTGTAAATACTCACTGCCAATAGCTCCTTAGTATAGACCACAGCCTCAGATCACTTACCCTGTTGATGCCTGAGTTTTGACTGTCTTGATCGTATGTAGGCCTTGTCCAGCTAACCACAGCTGATCCGGCTCTGGTAGCCATGCCATGCCCTGGAGACAGTATTTCACAACCATCCTCATCATCATCCCGCTCCTGCACCCTTTCTGTCTCCTCTGACATGTGTCCTGGACCCCTGGTCATGGAGTTAACACCAACGAAATTGTTTGTAAACATGTAATAGTTACCATAATATCTTGTTTGTTGTTGCTGTGTGTAGCGGCTGAAAATGATTTCAGTTGTCAGCTCCTAGGCCTGCTGGCCTAGCTGTGTTTCAGTGCAGGGAAGTGATTGGATCTGACTGTAGTAAGATGCATCCAAGTGCTGTAAAAATGTGAGATTGAGGACAGGTCCAGGAGGAAATGCGGTTTGGGTTTTCTGCTTAGGAAGGCAAAACTGAGTGAAGGGAAGTAACCTCAAGGGGAGGTACTGATTGCTCAGTGCAGTCCTGAGCCAGCTTTTAAATATGGCGTTCTCTCTCTACCCAGAGGTGGACAACCTGGATCTTCAGGAACCAGAATCAAGCTGATCCCAGGGCTTACATTCACCCAGTCTACGTCACTCTTTCCCTTCTCTCCCAGGCTAAAAGCAGCTTCCTGCTCTGTTGTATTTTAGGTTACCAGAGCCTGTTGTCTTTCAGAAACTCTGATGGGTCATATGACATGTTGTGTCAGAGAAACCAGAAAGGAAGCATAAGGTGAGAGATTAAAATCTTTGTTTTATGCAATATAAGTTTTTGTTTTGTTTTGTTTTGTTTTTTAAATCTAAGCAGGACTTGCAAGAAGGTGAGAGCAGCTAGTGCCCACAGGAGTGATTTCCAGCCTAGTGGGCTTCAAAGTGGTTTTACAGAGAATAAAACAAAGCTCAAAAATGTCTTCTTTTTGTTCTGATGCAACAATATCCCCGTAGTGTCATGAAACTTGCTTAGCTGTGTGATCATTAAGGATGGCTTTTTGTGATGACACAGCTCATCAGCACCATGGCGAGTGTCACATCATACTCTGAACCTCTCAGTCTCATTTAGATACCAGGAAAGAAAACTAGAAAGCATCCTGTTTCTGGGTATGTGGAATCAAATGGCCTGTGTGGACAGACCTTTGGGTCTGGCTAAAATCCACCTGCTGTGATAGCTACAGACTTGCTGACGTTTTGCTAACCCAATGAAAGAGCCACTGTCCATTGAGACTAGCAACTGTCAACACTAAACAAGTTGGAAAACCAATCACCCAAAAGGGAGAACACTCATGAACCTGTTGAGCGGCTGACATCATCTTCCCCTTAACTTTCTCTTTGATGGTTCCCATTCCAGGCTCAGTGCCCTGACTTTCATGACACTTGAGAAAATGAAGGAATATATTTTCATTGATGAGGCAGTCCCCAAACAGACCTTAATCTGGCTCTCAAGCAAACAGAGAACAAACGGATGCTTCAGACAGGATGACAAGCTTGACAACGGTGCTTCGGAGGTAAGGGACTCACCACGAGGATTTCCTTCCTGCCCCTTCCACCCTGCCTCATCGGGGACTCTGTGTCTTCTGAGTCTGCTGCAGATGCAGGTCTCCTGAGTCCTCTCCATCCTCTCCACAAGCATGATCCCTGCCTTGTGAATGTTTAACCAGAGTCTGGACAGAACCCTGCATGAGCCTTTTGTTTGCCTTCTTCAGCCTTTAGTCTTTCCATAGAGTCAGGCTTCTGCAATCAGTAAACTGGGAAGAGGAGGAGAAAGGGGACTCAGCAGAGAAAGCATCTGGAAATTTGGAGTCAGACAATATATTGAAGGAAGGGGTGTTTGTTGTTGTAGATTTAAAAGATACGGCCTAATCCATGTTTATTATTAGGCTATAATTATTATGATGGTGTTATTTAACCTGCTATCATAATCATTAAGACCCAGATACCTGTTAGATTTTATAATTGCCTTATTTACTTTGGGCTGAACAGATATTTCCACTCACACTATCTTAATAACCTACCATCCATCTCCCAGCTCCCCCCCCCCCATTCCTTCTGCCTTAAACATTCCTATCTTGGCTATCTTCCACTCATAATCTTATAAATACTTTATTGTATTTTTCATCTTGTTGTTTTCTCCATCCACACCATCCTCAGACTCCTTTCTCCCGACCTGTATGTTTCCTTCTCCACAATAACCCATCCTGGCATCCTCCTGCCTCTTCTTGTCTTCTTCCTGTTTCCTGAGAGTCTCCTGTCTTCAAAAGCCAGGGAACCGTAGCCACACCCACCTTATTCCGACCTGCCCAAGAACAGGCCAATCAGGTAGGTTTCCACAACAAGGATGGGTGTAGCCAGGTAGTAACCAGATCTTGAGAGCCAGTAATTAGCTTCAACACACAAGCATCAGACCAACCTCCCACAGGTGTTGAATGCATGAGGCATTCCTTCCCGGGCCTCAGTCCTGAGGTTTAATCATGGTCTCAGGTAGAAATGCAGCTCAGTTGGTAGAGTGTGTCAACCACAAACACAGAGCTCTTACCTCAGAGAGAACAAGGCCACTTAATCTGAAGCCAAGCATGGGTGATCCTGGAGCACAGATTTAGTCACTCCACGGTCCATGTTGCAACTTTGTAACATTTTGATTAGGTTTTGAAGTAACAGAACAAAGAAAGCCACAACTCAGACTTTTTCAAATGCGTCAGCAACACTAAGTAGGTAGTCCCAGCAAAAGAGGGAAACCCAGCCCTGGGGCTCAGATGCTCTGATTACAGGCTTAGCCTTTTGCTGATGGATTCTAGGGATCTGTTAGGCTGAAACATTTCCAAAGGTTTTATCTGTTAGTCACAGGGGTTGGATCAGACACAGAGGTGGACAAGGAATGGCTACTTAGGAGATGAAAGATGGGTGAACTAGTTCTGGATGTACAACATTTCAACGTCTCCACAACCACTGAGCTCTTTTATTTGCTTTCTGTTTTCCCCCTAACAACCCCTCCCACCCCCATCAGCAAAGCGTTTCTTTGCTTTCTTCAAATTAATACCAAAACAGCCATGTGAGCTGCTTGAATTCAGGCCAAACACCAGACCACATGATACTATGCAGAACATACATATGTTTAAAATTGTGTTTTCTTTAATTATCCCATTGAGTGTTAATTAATCTCACCCAGAGAGCATGACTGTTTCCTTATAACAGTCCTATATGTTAGAATGTTTTTGTGTGTAAGGACTTTGCTCAGCACTTTTTTTTCCCAGTTAGTCTCACTTCAGAAACATAGCTGCTCTTTCACTGTTCCTTTGTTTTCAGGGCAACGAGGAGCCGGATATTGTGCTCACTGCCCACGTTGTCTGAGCGTTCCTTGAAGCTGGACTCGATTCCCGTGTACGGATTCTCATCTTCTCTGGCTTCACTTTGCTGAATGCACCTTCACTAGAGTCTAGATTCCCAATGAAATTCTTAGACAGGCTAAGATTCCAAGATAACGTTTAATCCTCTACCATCCTTTAAAGCGATGTTGCTCAAAATTCTTCTGAGTCGCTGATATTTTGATGGGTAGGATTGAGGTTTCTCCCAGGTTGGATACACTCATAAAAAAAAAAACCCTCAATTTTCATATGATCTGAGCTATTTATATCTTCCCTGAAGTGCAGCCATGGACTTCATACTATGAACCTCCGCTCTGGTGGGGATGATGGCACACAGCGGTGATTCAGCAGTAATGCTAGTGTTCAGGAGATCATGGCAAGGGATCATGACATTTGGGACCAGTCTTGCTTATAAAAGCAAGACCCAGACTCAAAAACAAAAGCAACTATCACTGACCAAGAATGTCTGCTTCCGGTAAAGCCGTAGTCAAGAAGATTGTTTCCAATCCTCTGACGCACTTTTCAATATGATTCAATCCAAAGACTATCCATTTACAAAATCTCTTCCTAAGAGATGCTCTGTATTTTCAGGCTCATTAGTATATCTTGAAATGCAAACCTCTATTTAAAGCATGGAAGTAACGCATTTTAAGTCTACCAGAACTGTTTGTGGTCTGGGGCGTTAGCTCAGTTAGAAAAGCACTTGTCTCACAAGCATGAGGACCTGAGTTGGGTGCCTAGAGCCCGTGTACAAAGGCAGGGAGACGTAGTGGTACCTGCCTATAATCCTATTGCTGAGGAGACAAAAAGCAAGATCCTTGTTACTTGCTGGCCAGCCAGGCTAATACAATTGGACAGCCCCAGCCAAACAGAGACATCTCAAGTGAGGCAGTTGATGGTCTTCAGCTTGCCCCCCAACCTGTCCTCTGGCCACATGACACATGCAAATATACATGGCTATGTACATACATCCACACAGCTATATATAATTGTATAAAAGAAGTTTATATTACCATTATAAGCTAACATAAGCTTATACTGTGTTTAGAGCACTGCTGATCTGATAATAAACTCACTTTTCTCCTTCAATTGTGTTTCCCCCCCTATATACTAATAAGAGTCCAAATTTATTAGAATGTTGCTTTAAAAATAAGGCATGTGAATATATGATAGGTTTATGTGTAAACATAGAATATGTGAATATATAAGGTAGATTTGTATGTGAAATGTGCTTCGGGGGTATATTATTGACATTGTAAACTGCATTGTATGCAGCGGTTGGTTAGCTTAATTATTTGGCAAACTTGTGGAATCACTTACAAGCATGTTCTTCCCTCCCCCCCACTAGTTTCCTGCCCTCCGCAATGGTCTCTATTGCCTGGAGGAGGCATTTGCAAATGGTGTCACCAGTGTCTACACTCAGGCTGTTCTGGCTTATGTGTTTGCACTAGCTGGGAAAGAACAGCAAGTGAATTCCTTACTCCAAATCCTGGATCAAGCCACTATCAAAAAAAGTAAGTCTTATGACCATTTGTCTTTGCTAGTGGAGAAACTCCTGAAAACAAAGTGCAGAACTTACTGAGAGGTTGGATCAGAACCCTCACGGCGCTGCTGCTTCTGCGGAACACGTCAGCGACTGTGTCTTCAAAAAGTACCAGATATTTAATTTCCTTCTTTCTCTTTTCCACCAATTTTTTTCAAATGAGTGACGTACTTACTTTTCTAAGTAATCATACTGCAGACAATAATAATTACTTCTGAAACTACTTATTCCTCTAAGGAAATACTGTATTTATTTCCCAGCATCTGTCACAGAAAAATACCACAAGCAGGGTAACTTAAACCTCAGAGTTCTTTTTCTCTCTAGAGGTAGAAGTCTAAGATCCTGATGGCAGGAAGTGAGGGGGCCTTGCCTGGAGTAGACAGGCTCTTTCTGAAACCTTCGTGCTGTGTTTCCCATGTGTGTGGACACCCTTGGCTCCCTTTGTGCGCCTATGTTTCCTCTTCTCATAACCACCATCAAATAGGATCTTGTGCACCTTATAAAACGATTTTAACTTTATCACCTCTTTAAAGGTCCTATTCAGAAATCAAGCCACAGTCTGAGATCAAGGCTTTCATATATGAATTTAAAATTCAGGCCACAACAGGCCTGAATTTATCCAAAGGATAAAACCTGTTCCCTCTGTGTGGGTACCTTATGAGGACTTGCTTTAAGGACTGTGAAAATTCTTTTTAGAGAGATGGCTTTTCCCCCATTTTCTCAGATAATATGATACATTGGGAGAAAGAAGAGAAGCCCCAAGCTGAAGACTCTCCACCGTTGAGCCCTTGGGCACTTTCTGCTGAGACTGAGAGGACGTGCTATGTGCTCTTGGCTGTCATTTCCCAGGCCACTCAGGACCTTGACTACGCCAGTAAGATCGTGCAGTGGCTCGCCCAGCAGATGAACTCCCACGGAGGCTTCTCTGCCATGCAGGTGGTTCGCCTGATGCGGGGTGGATTTGTGTAATGCAGAAGATGGCACTCAGAGTGACAATGGTAGTCACGTTGTTGTGAGATAAAGAACATTTGATACTCCTAAAGGGGTGTGTGTGTGTGTGTGTGTGTGTGTGTGTGTGTGTGTGTGTGTGCGTGCGTGCTACATGCAAGTCGGTTGGATTGCCTTCATCTGGAGCTAGATATGCTTGTCAGCCACCATGTGGGTGCTAGGGATGGAACCTGGGTCCTCTGCCAGAGCAACAATGCTCTTAACCACTGAGGCATGTCTCCAGCCCCACAGTTGGTATTCTGACTCCTGTTTTATTTAGTCAGTAACTATTCATGGGCTCGTCATTGTGTTTCAGACTCTCTTGCAAGCAGATTTTAGATGTGATTTTAGATGGCAAATGAGACCTTCCCTTTGAAGCATTCAGGCTGACTGTGTCTCCATTGCACACTGGAGAGCAGAATGGAGGTCTAGGAGAGATTGTCTTCATGAGAACCGAGTCTTGGAACAGTAGATTTCTGATGGGATAGTGGTCAAACCACATGTCAATTTTGAAGAACAATTTCTCTGTGTTTCTGTGGTCTCCACATCAAAAAAGGCAAAAGGAGGGACAACAATAACAACAACAAAAAATGACCCTGAAGCAGTGAGTGGTTCCCTAACAGGAAAAACTGAACATCAGGGGAGGGCAGTTTCGTTTAATGAGGACAGTGTCCCTGTCTAGTCCTCCTTTAAGGCTGAGTCCCGGTGAGACAGCAGGCTGGTGAATTTTCACAGACCCTTTCCTGACTTCTGTCCCTTTTTGAAGATGAGGGGACAGAAGTGAAGTCATCGCATTGTGCAGCACGTTCACTTTCTGACTAGATCTGACAGGACTTTAGCCTCGGGGATGGTTTTATACATATTCAGGATATATATACTAAAATCCAATTAATTTGCTAAAGAAAATGAACTGGCAGCAATTCCCACAACCGTCTGAGGCATGGTGTCTTGTCCAGGGTTCAGGGATGTTTGTGGGGTCCGAATGGACTGTCATGGTCAACAGTGAGTGACTTGGTGCTGCTGTTCTGCGCAGGACACCGCAGTGTGCCTTCTCGCCCTAACCCGATACATGAAGTTAACTGGCTCCAAACCTCAAAACACCATCACCTTGAGCATGGAAGGCTCTGAGGAGGTGTTCCACGTTGACAATGATAACCGCCTTCTGGTCCAGCGCTCAAAGTTATCCAAAGGGCAGGGACCATATAAGGTCGACGTAGAAGGAGAAGGCTGCACGTTTATCCAGGTAATGGAAGCCCTCCTCAGAGGGAGAACTAAACTTGCCCAAAAATTCAGACCACTGTTCAGTTACGTGTGAAGTATTTTGTCATGTTGATTCTGCCTCCTTCTGTCTCCTCAAGTGCTAGGATTACAGGTATGTCCCACTGTTCCCAGCTCCCCGAACCTCTTTCTAAACAATAACAGAAAATGCAACATATGATATTGAGAAGTTATTCACATTTTTATTAATTTTGAAGTTAACATTTAGGGACTGGAGAGATGAGTCAGTAGTTAAGAGCACTAGCTGCTCTTCTCGAGGACCTGAGTTCAATTTTGTGCAGAGTGCAGGGAATCTTATGAAAGAAAGGGGAGATGGAAAGACCTGTAGGAGTCAGGAGCTCCACAGGGAGAGCAACAAAACCAAAAAAATCTGGGCACAGGGGTCTTTTCTGAAACTGATACTCTAAACAAGGACCATGCATGGAGATAACCTAGAACCCCTGCACAGAGGTACCCCATGGCAGCTCAGTCTCTGAGTGGATACCCTAGTAATGGGAGCAGGGACTGTCTCTGACACGAACTCAGTGGCTGCTCTTTAATCACCTCCCCCTGAGGGAGGAGCAGCCTTACCAGGCTGCAGAGGAAGACAATATAACCAGTCCTGATGAGACCTGATGGGCTAGGGTCAGATGGAAGGGAGGAGGACCTCCTCTATCAGTGGACTGGGGAAGGGGAATGGGAGGAGATGAGGAAGGGAGGGTGGGATTGAGGGAATGAGGGAATGAGGGAGGAGCTGCAGCTGGGATACAAAGTGAACAAACTGTAATTGATAAAAATAAATTAATTTGAAAAACTGATAAAGTTGGCGTACATAATCTTAGATTTCATTACAGCATTTTCATGCATGTTTTATTCTTACTTGTCTTTCTTCCCTCCGCCCTCTACCCCATTCACTTTCTTTTGTTGCCCCCCATGAATATCCCTCTTCCACTTTCATGCCATATGCACCCCATTATTCCCCCAAATAAGATCTCTTCTTTCCAATTCATTTATCTCTATCTCTCCTCCCTCTTCCCTGTACACACACAAGTACATTTATACATATTAAACGTTTTTATTAATTAAACTTGTTTTTAGGCAGTTTTGTATAAGCACCGCTGGCTGACAGAGGTTTTTTGAAGAAAACTACCAGTAGAAAGAATTCTGTCCTCATCAGATTACAGCATCCTGCTGCGTCTAACACACACACACACACAGACACACACACACACACACACACACACACACACACACACACACATTCAGTTTATCCTGGTTCCCTGATGATAACGATGCAAAGCACGTTAGTAACGGGGTTAAAGAGGTACCAGGTCCTTCAGTTCTTACTACAGGATGTTATCCTTTCCAGGCAACCCTCAGGTACAACGTGCCGCTCCCTAAGAAGACATCTGGATTTTCCCTTTCCCTGAAACTGGAAAAGAGAAACTCTCCAGATGGATTCCAGACTGAGTACATCCTCACAGTGACCCTCATGTAAGTGTACTTTGTGATGGCCACCCCAGATTAGAGAACTACATCAAAGAATGACTCCAAATAGGACTGAAGGAAAACAAATGTGAACGGCAGTGGCCATGCTGAGCCACATGTTCACAGGGGATGTTCCGCACCCCTGCCGTTTCACTGCTCTTTCACACACTGGCTTATTAGACAGATCTTGAACATGGTCGACACACATATGATTCATGTTCCTCATCTACAGCCTGCCAGCTGTTGCCTTTCTGACAGATTGACAATGTGAAAGATGCCAGGCACGGTGCCCCACACCTGTAATCCCAGCAAAGAGGAGGCAGAGGCAGGAGGATTTCTGCGAGTTCAAGGCCAGCCTGGTCTACAGAGTGAGTCCAGGACAGCCAAGGCTACACAGAGAATACCCTGTCTTGAAAAAAAAAATCCTATATGGAAGGTCTCCTCTAGTATTGACAATCTAAAGCTGGCAGGAACCTACTTGACATGA